AATTGTAATTTTTTAATTTTTATTTTATATTACTTTTATTAACTGGCGTTGGAACAAAACGAAAAATCCGCTCGCTCTCTCCCCCCTCCCCACCTCCCTCCCTATCTCTCTTCGAATATACTTAGATACATACGTATATAAGGTGAACGTAATCGATGGCATTTCGAGGAGTCGTTTCGTAACTTTTTAAGACGGTAATTATAAATAGAAGAAGGAGAAAAAGTAAGAATGCGGACGTAAGCTTGCCTGTTCCACGAAACGATTTGCCTGTTGTACACGGAGTCCGCACCTACGATTAAACTTTGCTCGTTCGAATTTATACATATTGTTCGTATATTGAAAAGAAAAGAAAAAGACTTTGAATTTCCAAAATCAAATTCGAACGTTCGAGGTTGTACCGTAGGAGGAAGTTCACGACGTGAGACACGCGTGAACTTTTCTTGTCCTTTCTAAAGAATAAAGAAAGAAAAAAAAAACATATATATATATATATATATATATATTATATATATAAAGTATGTTGTATAAGACGGCTTCTTTGCAAAAACGCAGTTAAAAATGTGATACGTTTTTGTAATTACGTGCTTGTAAACGTTTTTCGCCCCCTCCCCTGTAAGAGTTAAGGATGATAAATTTAGGGAAAGTTTCGATAGAATTAAAACATTGTACGCGAGTTCGCTGAAAGTCGCGTTCGCGAGAAAGAAACTTATCAAAAGACTAAAGTCTCTTTCGAACTGGATTTCGAAAAATTCTATAAAGATCCGTCGAAACTTTGATTTTTTAGTTTTCATCTTGCGAAGGCGACTTTCAGCGCGAGTAGCTTTTTTACGTAACGTGACAAGGAAGAGTTTTGCCAAATATATAAGTACTTATTAGCTCTTAAGTCTTTATTAGCTCGTAACGACATGTGAGGACTAATGATGTATGTGCGTGCGTGTATGTGTGTGTGTGTGAGTATATATGTATATACATATACATATACATATATATATATATATATATATGTATGTATGTATGTGTGTGTGTATATATATGTGTATGATGTATATACACATGCATTGATCGAGAGACGAAGAGAAAAGTCGAAACAAAAATTATCGAGATCGACGCAAAGTTATTTGGTCTTTCTCGACGATGATGTTTCAAATTGGAGGAGGCATCAACGTTACACTTTACTCGTTCAAGCGATTTTTGTATCCACCGCTAAAATGATCGTAAAATGGGACAAATGAAAAAAAAAAAGGAAACTGGAGGTCTGCATAGCTTCTTCTGAAAATCAAAAGAGGGCAAAAAATATTACTGCGCAGCTTCCAGTTTAAAAAAGAATATTAACGATTATTATTATTATTATTATTATTATTATTATTATTATTATTATTATTATTATTATTATTACTATTATTATTACTATTATTATTATTATTATTATTATTATTATTATTATTATTATGATTATTATTATTATTATGATTAAAGGTTCGTAGGTGTAAGGCATATTTTTTATGTATGCTTTTTCTGTACGCGAAGAAACGTACCCGAATAAAGACATAAAGACATTTCCAAAAGCTAAAGGAGAGAAAAAGGAATGATGATAAAAGGAATGATGACTCGGGAAATTTTCGCAATGATCGAATCCAATAGGAATTTTTTTATAAATACATTTATCCTTTATTGGTTTATTTTAATATCAGGAAAAAATATAAGATAGAAAAAATTGGATCGCCGCGTCTGATAATAGAAGCATGCGCGTAAAAGGAATATTATAAAATTCTTTGAATTATTTGAAACAGAAATAGCTGCTTTAAAAGGCGATATCGATGAAATTAAACGTCAATGATGAAAACTAAGTAAATGAAATATCGTTGAAAGAAAAAAATAATTTATTAGCATTGCCCCATCGCGGTTGATTTAATAAGTATTAATAAGTATTAATAAATATTGAAAAATTGTAAAAAGGAAAAAATCTCTAAATAGTGATTGACCTGACGAAACATCGGACGATAATATATCATTATGATTCGTTGGTATGATACATTCCTACCTTATTGACAATTCCCATCGCGCGCGCGCGTCTCGTAAAATTGTGCGCACGCAAAGGAAAAAGAAAAAATAATAATTCTTTTATTCGTTTTTCTTAATTTTTCTTTTATCCTAAGAATCAATGACGCCTCGTCGTTTTCATATGCGAAATTATTTTCTTGATGGCACACGGTCGATACGTTTGACTATGCAAAACGTATCGGTGCTCTCATCGTTCACTTCGATTCGTGTTTAATCGAAGACACTTTTTTGTTGGCAAGTAAAAATTACATTAACATTAATAAGAATTAACGATTAGACCTCTATCCCCATATCCGAACGTTTTCCCTTCTTTATCAATAGCTGTTCGACGTTCAGCCGTGGTGGTTCTGTTCGCGTATGCCAAACGTATATCTAAAATTCGTGTAAAGAGTTCATTTAAATATAGATTATGTATTCTTAATTATCCAAAAATAGAGATTATACTCACTTTTGTACAAAAGTCTGCTAAGGGCTCTAACTCGTCTCTGGTAACAATTTGTCGAAGAATCTCGCTCTCCTGATACCCACCCTGCACATCGTAAGAAAATACGGCATCGTTATTCTCTAAGAGGAGCTTCAGGTTAATGGCAAAGCCTGCCATATCAATGGGGAACGGTCTGTCGGGTTTCCAAGCGGCATTAAAACCAATTACTTTATTGGTAGCATTATCACAGATAGGTTTCTCCACCATTAGACCACCGACGAGACCAACCGGCCAAACACCGACCTTCCGAATCTTCTTCATCTGAAATCAATGGGGTGGGCGGGGGATGGGGAGGAGGAGGAAAGCAATTGCCGGTTAGACAACAATAGTCCGTTTGGGAAAAGCTTTTTAGATTTTTTTTTATATTATTTTCTAGGCCTCTCTTCACCTCTTGGAACAATTTTAGGGAATAGGTATTGTCGTCGTCGGCGAAGAACACTACGCCGTTGTCGTTCGACTTTAGATTCTTCCTGAGCCAGTGCAAAGCGGCATTCCGTTGCTCGACGCCTCGAGGCTTCTTCCAATTGGGATCATTTTTTCCAAGCTTATAATTGGGAGGAGTAGCAGCCGCCAGGTGGGTGTAAATCAAGCAACTTTCCTCGAGCAACTTCGAGACGAGCCTCGTCCTCTCGGGCGAGTCCTCGACTACGATCCAATGGAAGTTTGGTACGAGTCGAAAAGTTTGGGAGAGTCGCGTCAATTCGGCCTTTTGTACGGCCCTGGCGAACGTCGGTGTTATAGCGTATACCGTTGTTTTATCGTTTGTCGTCACTGTCTTGTTCAAATCAAATATCTTTTGTCTCACCAACATTATTTGATATTGAAGCATATCTTGCGTCTCACGTTGATCGACTAGCAACAAATCTATTTCTTTCCTCATCTCTTGCCACTTTTGCAGTTCCTGATAATCTAATAAAGAAAAATCATACGTAAGAAATATTCGAAAAAGCGTCTCGGGCTAAAATCTATTTCGCCTTTATCGAGACTTTAATAAATGCAACGTTAATAAATATCTATTATATTTGGATATCGTGAAAGTATACGATTCCCCGCCACGTAAAAAGGAGAGAAAAGAGACGTAAAAAGGCGGGTACATTCGAATCGAAGCGGGCAACATTCTGATATTTCTTCTCTTTTCTCTTTTGCCCCCTCGAAAATAGCCCGACAAACCATATACTTAAACTTTACGCAGACTAAAATTTATCCACTGATTTCAGTCGAGCGCTCGTCTGACCGACATTCTTTCAAACTATTTAAATTTGACATCAAAACTGTCTACGGAAGCGGCCATTGGGGTACCGGTTCTCTCTCTCTCTCTCTCTCTCTCTCTCTCTCTCTCTCTCTCTTCCTTTCTACATGCATCATACACTCACAGCAATAGCAGCAAGCAAAGACACGGGGAAAATATAACCTACGGATTGGACAAACATACTCACAAGTAAATTGTTGAACTGCGATAAGACTAATCACGAAGAGACCGAGAAAGCCCTTTCCACAGGAGTATGTCAAGTATCCGAAAAGCATAACGCGTTTCATGATAAATTAGTCACTCGACGAAACACACTCTTTCATCTCTAGGTCACACCTTGTCCAAATGGTCGTTCATGTTCTTCGAACCATGAGCTGACATCTACGTTCCTTACTTTCTATCCTTCCAATAGTTTTAGATTCATTCACTCGTGATGGCGCTCTCGAGCGTGTCTCCGTCATGAGTACCAATTATCTATTCGAGCTCTTTCTTTTTTCTCTCTTTTCTTCTTATCTCGAAATATTATTATATATATATATATATATATATATATATATATATATATACACACATATATTGTAATAAGCGAAGTAAATCGAACAAAGTAAAATTCTATTAGCCAACATTCGTAGAAGGCTGGACTAGAAGCGATCATTCCTTCTAGTGACAAAACTATTGACTCTTCCTTTCTCTTTCTTTCCAACGGAGAAAAGTCCCTAAACCGATTCTGCCATGTTAACGTGAATAATACGGTAGGTGGCGAGAGTGGTCAAAATGATGCAAAAAAGAATATATACCCATCGGCAGAGAGAAGAAGAGCGATATTCTACCAGACTTTGAAGCTCTAGAACGATGGTCGAAAAGAATGAACGAAGTTAATCATTGTGATTATTGTTCGAAGACACGAGGGACGAGGAATGGGAGGGTAGGTTTATTTCTTTTTTTTTTTTTCTTTTTTTTTTTTTTTTTTTAACATCCCTAGCCTCGCACTTATAATGTTAAGTATCCATACGATTTTATGGTCTGTATTTGAACGACTTGATATCGGAGTAGGATAGGGGACGAGACGGTGGTACTGCACGTGCGTATCTTAGACTCTCTGTCACCACGGTGCAGCGTCACTCTGCTCGTCGCCAGTAGCCTTCTCGACAGTGTCGGCACAACACTGTGCGCTTTTCAAGAGGGTGAAAGGGGGGATGGGTCACGGCGGCGGGGGCTAGTCGATAGGGCAGGAGAGAGAGAGAGAGAGAGAGAGAGAGAGAAAGAGGGAACGTCGAGTCCTCACCTTGCAAGAGGTGAGCTCCACCACGCATTGCAAAGTGGCTGCTGCAAAAGTGAGCCGACTCTTCTTCGGTCAGTTGCTATTTGCAACCGCTGCTGGCAGCGTTTGTTATCGCAGCTCCTGCTGTTATCTTTTTCTGCTAAAGGATAGAGGTTTTTGTGGAGGCGATAGTCGTGGTGGTTGTGCTCGTTTGATAGATAGTGGTAGGTGCTTGTGCTTGTGCTGCGCCTTCGTCGAAAAAGGGAAAGATAAAGATAGGTAGAGCTAGCGAGAGAGAGAGAGAGAGAGAGAGAGAGAGAGAGAGGAGAGAGAGAGAAAAGTAGCCCTCGAGGTTACGAGGCCAGAGGAGAAAGTGGGTGTTGCCGAAGTAACGTGTTGGACCGTTCGGGAGCTGCCGAGGGACATGCCGGGAGCCCGGACAGGTGGTGGCGTACTAGAATACAACGAAGGATAAAGAAGGAGATAGAGAAAAAGAACTAAAGAAGGATGCCACTTTTCGTTGATTCTCGATCAACGAGTCATCGACGTCATCAACGCGTCCTCGACGTAAATTTCGTGTTTAGTGAGTAAGTCATGTCAATCTTTTTAATGTTGTGCCTCTTAAAGAGAAGAAAATATTTTCTCATTAATCTGTCGTTTGTACTACCGATGCATTTCGCTTACCAACGAATATCCAATATTAAATTCGTTAAGAGATAATTCGTTGAATAAGGGATGCTCGAGAGTAATCTTAGGTGCATCTCTGTTGGCGGAGATTGGAGGAGACTCGAGAAGGATCGCATAGTTTCGTACTCGTCGAGGAAATATACAGGTCGGATGCAAATTACGATCGCGAACGAGACGGTAATTGGGGCGAAGGGATGTTAAGACTCCTAACGTAGATTGGGATGTTTTCCAGCCCCCCTCTCTCTCTCTCTCTCTCTCTCTCTCTCTCTCTCTCTTTACTTCTTCTTATCAACCTCCGACCATCCCTCCTTTGCCTCCATCCTCTCTCTCTCTCTCTCTCTCTCTCTCTCTCTCTCTCTCTCTCTCTCTCTCTCTCTCTCTCTCTCTCTCTTTCTCCTTTTTTCGTTTGTTTTTCTAAAAGAGGAGGGAGACCGCCGGTGCGCAAAGCTCATGTCAGTGGAACTTTCCGACGTAACGAGAAGAGGAGCTAGTCGCGTTATTGTATACAGCGTGCTCGTGCCCTTTTGCACTTCACGTTTTTTCTGAACCGCCGCGATCCACCCTCTCTCTTTCCTATTTTCCACTACCATCATCTTTTCCTTCTCCTCCTCTCCTCTACAAACGGCGTCGAGTGTTACACTAGAATACCGAGAATAATACTCGAGGCCCGTCGACAGCTTGAGAGAAGTTCCTCACCACCTCCTCCTCAACCCTCTAACCTCACCCTTCCTCTTCCTCTTTACTTCCACATTCATCGCTACCTCCACGAGTTTCACCGAACGTTCCCTCTCTCTCTCTCTCTCACCCCCTACCCTACGTTTTCACCCATCCTCCGAGAGGTGTGTGCACTGGCCTCGATTAGTCCCCGCTTATAGAGAGAGAGAGAGAGAGAGCTACCGGATTATTCCTTTTTTTCAAGCAGGGCTGCGAGGGGTACTCGCTAACGACGTCACCGTGTCGAGTGAGTCACGGCTTCTAAATTGATCCCCCACCATCGAGCTCAGACCCTTCTTTCTCACATTTCCTCCCTCTTTCTCTCTTTCTCTTTATCTCGACACGCTCGTCAACCTCTTTCTTCTACCATTCTTTTCACCAACATCCCACGACCTATGTACGTACATACAAACGTTTGTCCATGTTCGCTCGAAGGTCACCGTGAGGACAACTTTAATGATTTCTCGCGATGTCGTCGATATTCGGCAAGGCTTTATACATCCTTTGTACTTATATTCTATCTGTTTTCCTTTTATTTCGATAATCGAGTTCATCGTTCCGCGTTAGGAGATACCTCGGCTAAGTTCTTTGTCGAAAGCATACGTTGGGATTGATCAAAAGTTATCAAGGTACTTGACTCGTGTACATATCCTTCCCTGTAATTTAGTACCACAGATGACTTTATCCTCTCTCTCTCTTTCTCTCTCTCTCCCTCTCTCTCTCTCTCTCTCTCTCTCTCTCTCTCTCTCTCTTTCGCTCCCCTTCGCTCCCCTTCATTCACTTTATCTTTCTAATCTATCTGAGTGAAACAGACATTTCAGAAAAAGCAGTCGGAGATAGATTGGAAAAATTTTAATAACACATTTACGCGCGACCCACGAACCGGATTACGGGTATACGAGTCGGTACGATCTTATCGATCACGGCGTATCGATAAACGTGTCTCATCGTGATTCATCGAGTTCGTTGTTATCGTTCCGATCAAGTATACGTTCTCTCTTTTTCTCTTTCTCTTTCTGTGTACTTTGCATCACCGCTTTTGCAAGATTTCTCTATTATGACACAAAGACAACTTTGGACTTTGCGAGATGAAATATAAAACAATGTCGGCACTAGGGCAAATTTCGTTCATGCTACACTTTACGAGGGAAACTTTATAAGCTTGATCGATAGGGAAAACTCGAGAATCGAGCTATAAAGCATTCCAGGATACGTGTAATGAATTACGCGTATAGTATCCTTTTGTTACCTTTACCTTCGCTCGCCCTTCTCTTCTTTGTTTGTTCGCCCGCGCCTGTGTTGGCGCGTCTTTTCACCTTTTCTTTTCTAAACACAGATGACATCTCTTACAAATAACTTCAATACGAAGTTTCCACTCGTTTGCTCTTTATTCAACGACGAAATATCAGAGCAGAAGGGACGCGTTCTTTCGAATTTTTCCTCGATTGGCCACTTTTGAGCGAACGTGTTCGGTCTACCAACCTTTTTTAAAGGCCTGGAGCGAATCGTCCTGCAAAGTGCATCGCCTTTGCCTTCGGCATTTTCATTTTCGAGAGAGGGAGACCTGCAGCGAATATACGAAAAGGAATGGCAGAGAGAGAGAGAGAGAGAGAGAGAGAGAGAGAGGTGGAGGGGGAGGGATTTTAATAGGAACAATAAATAGAGAACAAAGCTCTCGCACCCTGACATTTTTCGTTGCTTACCGAAAGGTCAGCCCCAATTTTTGTTTTCGAGAGCTGGGGCAGGTAAAGTCTCAGGGGGAATCAGCCACGGACGCATCGGTGACTTTATCTCGATGAGAGAGATTATAAATGAAGTATGAAAAATCCAGTGGCCTATAATGATTCATCTTTGATCGACAAAGAAGGGAGTGCGAGAGAGAGAGAGAGAGAGAGAGAGAGAGAGAGACATAGACATACAAGTATACTTGATTGGCCTTTTCTTCAATTTACAAATCACAAGAGTCGTTATGACATTAACTATCGATCATTGTATATCGATATGTTGTTAATTTCGATCGATTTAAATGGGACACATCCTAGAAGAGTTTTCCTATAAAATCTTCGAGATCGATCGAGTGGCGGCGAGCAAGGAATATACTAAGAGGGGTAAAGTTAACGCTTAAAACTGTCCAATCTCGAGCATCACTCGACATACTTACATAGATCGTAGAGTTGGCCGACTCTTAAAGGTTAACGTACGGTGAAACGTCGTGTCTTGTTTACGAGTGGGAACAATGAAGATCTCGAAAGGATATTGGAGAAGAACCCTCGTATAATAGATGTTGTATATAAATTTAAAGGAGGAAACTTTTACTCGTGTAATATTTTCCTCAAAGTGATATCACCGTTACGAATCGATGTTGCTCTCGCAATCAAGCCGAGTACAAGACTCTTTCACTCACTCACCCTCTCCCTCGTCCTCTCGGAGTTATTCCGACGAGAGTGTCTCGTCTTTTCAGAAAGTCCGTTATTGAAACGTCACGAAAGAAGAGGACGACGAACGCTTTCCAGTCCGATCGATCCGCTCGTACCGAATTCTTATTCCGTGTGGAGGTATTTGTGGCAGGTATTTGTGAGTACGGGATAAATAATCCAACCGACTCTACTCCGGTGGTAAAGAGCAAGAGAAAAACCGAGAGAGGTACATAACGATGGACGAAAGAAATAACGAGCGTCGAAGGCGCTTTTTCAAACTATTCGGGTCAAGATGTATTAAATTCTTGGCTCGATGCACCACCTGCCCGATTAGCGACGGGACCTTCCCGTTTCTTTCCAAGATCTTTCATGCTCGTTTACTTTTCGAATGGGTATTTCATACGAACGGCCAATTCCCATTTTCTATTTTCTTGTTTCCTTTCCTTCTTCTTTTATATATCATGATCAGAATTGCACCGCCGTCCTCGATAACCATTAAGGATCTATTATTATCGTTGTTTGGTTTAAGAATTCATTTAAACGACGATTATAAAAGCTCCGTATAAAAGCTGGTAGCCTTATTTCCATTTCAGTTTGATCGCCGTACGATAAAGTTTCGATATTCGATATTATATTCTTCAACTTTTACAGAAGCCTGCTCATTCTATTGTTCATATATTTATATATTCATCTATGCATTCGGAACGTGTTATCGTTTAATGCAACAGTAGATGTTTTCATATCAATTACTTGTTTCTTTTTTTTTACGATTTAGCATCACTATAAGCAATATTAATTTGTTTGACCTCCATACCATAAGCACACGCATACCTTATCTCATTTCTCGGCAAGATCTTACAATACCGTTTCTCTACTTTACTTGCTCGAACGACGGCGAGTATTCGAACGCGCGTTGGTTATGAAACAAAAAGAAATTTAGGGGGGTGGGCTGTTGCGACGGTGAACTTTCGTCCGAGACGATGCTTATCTACCAGTTTGGCGCGTGTCAGTAAAATGTATAATAGGAGAAAGACGAAGATGGAGGGTGAGAAAGACATAGATAAATGGGGCTCGAACACGGTGACGTTTGTCTACGAATCACCGTAATAAAGCACGCTTTATCGTTTTAGGCTCGAAACTCGACGAGCACGCGAGCATGTTCGAAGTTGAACCGTGCGGCTTTACTCAGCACTATATACGACGGCCACGTACCTTAGTCGGTACGATGTAATCTCGAAATAATATTAAACAGTATTTGCAAAACAGTATTTCTCTATGTATTTATTCGTGATCGTAACGAAGTAAGGAACAGAATGTTAGTATCGAGTTTGCGGTTTATTGTTGGAACGACGACGGAGTAGGGCTTTTGCTGCTGCTGCCGATACCGCGAGAGCCAGAAAGAGAGAGAGAGAGAGAGAGAGAGAGAGAGAGAGAGAGAGAGAGAGAGAGAGAGACAAATAATACGAAAAGTTATTGTCGAGGAATAATAATGTCTCGTCATATTGCTGTTTTAAGAGGCATCACGAAGCTATGCATTTCAAGACCAAATGGATACAAAAAGGGAAGTAAAAAAAGAGGAACGATCTTGATATTTCAATGAATTCTGCTTTGCAAGAGAGAGAGAGCATTCTCACGATACGTCGAGATTCGTACTTATGTAAGACACCTTTCGTATTTTCTCGCATCATCTCGAGGATTCCTGTCCAACAATTTACCGACCCTCGAACTCTCTTTTTCTTTTTCTTTCTCTTCTCGTAGCAGCCCTTTTTTTTACTCGTTCGAAGAGACCGAAAAAATATTAAAAAAGTACCGAGTGCCGAGACAAAAGAAGTTTCTTTCCTCTTCTTCTTCTTCTTCTTCTTCTTCTTCTTCTTCGAGAGAGAGAGAGAGAGAGAGAGAGAGATAAGAAATATTTCTCAAGAACTTACGAAATAGGAAAAAAAAAGAAAAAACAAAACAAAAAAGAGAAAAGAAGAAAATGAAAACACGTTTTTTAATGAAATAATTATTACCAACATTTCCAGATGACAAATGTTTGGGTATATATTACGGTATGCAACTTGTTGATCTAATGCAAAAAATGATACGCGAAAGAAATTCGTCTCGCATCATTCCTTCCTTTATTTTCGTGGGGTGATTCTTTATCGATTCGATCGAACAACCAAGTCGATGAGAAGATGGAAGAGGTGTTCAAATCTCTAGTACAAATAGAACATACCTTAGTTATTTTTCGATTAAGTTATTAATTCGTTTACATCGCGAACGAAGCGCTTACCCACGATCTTAGATATTGGTCGCTTTAAAAAATTCGCTGCTATATACGGAAGATTAATAAAGAGGACAGCGAGGCGAGAGCAGGGGGAAAAAAAAGGGCGAAGGTCAAATAAAGCAGGCGAATGCCCGAAAGAACTAATGGGGCATTTCGTAATTCTTCCGCTTAAAAAGATTTCAAGTTTCAATTCTCATTTAAACACATGTGTATATATATATATATATATACACGTAAACGTACGAATGATCTTGGAGTTCGCGATTTTACGATCAAAGTTCGCTAACATTCTGTAACTTTAAGGTCGCTGATGCAAATACGCACACGCACACGCGCACGCATCTTCAGGTATCACTATTATAATAAGCACATTAACATCGAGAGATGTTGCGAGTAACGAATTAGTCGACTATCCATTTTATATCGGAAATAATATTGGGAGAATCGTAGACTTTTATGACCTTTACAATAAGGTTATCTTTACGATAAGATTATTTACAATGCGACGAAATTACATTGTCTAGCCACATGTGGGTTAAAAAAGAATTTGGATTCACGACGATAACGAGGTGCTGCTATTCGTTGAAAAAAATGACAGTATTTCATAGAGAGCGGAAGAAGAAAATAACAGATATGCGCGACGAATTAAAACGTCTTCGTACGAGCTTGGGAAAGTCGGCGACAAATGACGGAACAAATTCAAGAAGTTATCGACCTATCGATCGACGACCGGTGATAATAGAGAGGGAGAGAGAAATGGGAGGTAGAGAGGTCTGCGAGTCGTGTCGGTCGAACGAAACGAGTTGCAAATCGATATGAAATTTCAATTTTCCACCCTCTCAGATTCATTTCCTTCCTCTCTCCGAGGAAGGTGTATCCCTTGTACGCGATGGCCGACTTCATCTGTCACTTTCCATTCGATTTCTATTCGATCGTTCTATTAGTTTGCATTCGTATTAGGAAAACAGCTATCGTTCGGTCCGGCATAATGCGTTTGCTTCGCATACATTTTCAGTTCGTCGTAAATAATATATTAACCCGATATAATAAATAATATATCGAGCAACGTTGATATTTCTAGTCTTTGTTAATAGAACCTCGGCTAAATCTTGTAAGAAAAAGAAAAAGTCTATATAGCATTGTTACGTGACGAGTGGTAGCGCGGAGATTGGACTGGAAGATTCTTCAAGGTTATAATCCATTGAAAGAGTAAATCGTAAATCTGTGTTTCGTTCGTTCACACTCGGTTTATTCGTAGAATCGCTAACTTCGACTATATCCTAATTGGATGAAAGAGAAAGATATCGTCTATTAAATGCGAGAGTTTATCGACCCCGATAACTTCTTTACGTTTTTCGCTTTCCAACAGATATTTTCATTGTTCGAAAATTTTCTTTCTTCTTCTTTCTCCCCACTTCGACAGATTGATCGACCTTTGGCATATCGGGATTCAGGTTAAAAAGATATTTATAAGGGCCCATATTTATTTAATCGGCTATGTTGCAACGCTCTTGTTCAGGGTTGAGAGGATCTTTTTATTATACAGACAGATTGATGCTCCGTCGATCGCACGTAAAGACAAAAAGAGTCCCTTTTATCCCGTCCGAGAACGCTCTTGCGATTCTAGGAAGAAGACAATGCACGCGTTGTTCTACCTCTACATATGTAGCATACGTTGTATATGGGTATGTATCAGCGGAACCTGGTCGTTCGAAGCCTGGATCGCGTTCCCTTGGATGTTATCCAACGACCTTCGGATTGCGTCGAGATCTCGAGCCAACCAAGGCTCTCTCTCTCTCTCTCTCTCTCTCTATATATATATATATATATATATATATATATATATATATATATAGAGTACTCTTCTCGAGGAAAGAGATAACGATAAAGGGAAAAAATAAATAGCAATATCTAGGATTACGTTCGATCGAAAGATAACGAGTACGATATACTAGAGATTGGAACGATCACGGATAATCCGATAATGCTGATCTCGATTAATTACGTAAACGATTAATCCCTCGAGAGATCGATAAGCAATTATCTTGTCTCTCTCTAATAACGCTCGGTTTAACTTGCTTACAAAACGAGTTTTTGAAGAATTGATTTGCGCGAAAGAGAAAGCTAAATCGGTATCGTCTTTCTTCGCTTGGGAAAGCTTTTTCTCTTCGGAAAGTAGAAGTCGTCGACGTTGATCATAAGTAGGTCACAGAGAGTACGAAAGCTCGCGCGTAAGTCGTGTCTCGAATCATTCCGTTTGGGGAGGGTTAAACTGGGCCACGGTGCGTCGGCCTCGACACCAGAAATATTGTCGACCCTTCCCTTACCCCTCCTTCTTTCTTCTCTTCTACGTCAACGAAGAGAAAATCGTCGGATGTTCAACTATAAGCTCGATAAATAAACGAAGATGAAAAAGAATGACAAAGCACGGTGGGTTGGTCAGCCGGCCGTCTGTCCGTCCGTCCGTTCATTCATTTATGTTCTTTTAATTTAATTTATGTTCTTTTCTCCTTTTTTCTTCGATTCCGTCTACCGTTTACGCCGTAGGGATATTTTTAACTTTCCTAAGGCTTAACATAGCAGGCTCGATGGATGGTATCTCTCGCCTTGCCTCGTCTCTTTTATTTTCTTCGCACGAGCAATCTCGCCTATCAGACGGAGAGAGAAAGAGGATACAGTATCACCTCTTTTCTTTGTGCAAAATATAATCTCCTTAAGGAGGTTGAAATTGCTTCAATAAAAAAAGAATCCTTCTCTCTCTCTCTCTCTTTGGTTGCCTTCGATAAAAGCATTTTCGATGCTTCGACATTATCTCGCAGATAAAGAATTCTACGCTATCGGGATGGGATTTGTCCCATTTGAGGAATAGCGATTTACTTATTGCTTTGGTGAGAAATTGCGAGGAAAATCTTGGCAAGAATCTTCGAAGGAAATGTTCAAAATGATTTCATTCACTTATATTTCACTATAACATGTGATTCATTATTTCCATTCGACTTTTTTTTCTAAATTATTTTCAAAGTTAAATTCGTAATAAGGCGTAAATATGCGTTTTGAAAGTCGTTTTGAAAGACGGAAATCATTGGAGATGTTTTAAAGGAAAGGATTATCAAAATTGTATCGTTAGGACGAATAGAAGGATATTTTTGTAACGTCGTCGATCGCGAGGAATGAATGGTGTCGTGAGTAAGAAAAACTGAAAAAAATCGAGAAAAAGAGAAGAGGGATGCTGCGATGGAGCAGATGACGCGTGGTTGGGATTTTTCGCGCGGCTCCCATTTCTTTAACGCTCTCTCTCTCTCTCTCTCTCTCTCTCTCTCTCTCTCTCTCTCTCTCTCTCTCTCTCTCTCTCTCTCTCTCTCTCTCTCTCTCTCTCTCTCTCTCTCTCTCTCTCTCTATCTCCTCGTTCCAGTGTCTATCTCTTGTCTTCGTCCGTTGAAAGAGGTCGTTGATCTTCCGAGCGAGAGAGAAAAGAGAGGAGCACGTTTGTGGGCATACGGCCTTCGAGCGACCTTGACACTGGGACGTGTTTAAAGCGAACTACTTTTCAACGGCTTTTTATCACGGCTACTTAATTTCCGAGTAAAAAAGTCGTTTTCGAATCGTGCGAGAAATCGTTACGTCCAAGTGTTTTGTAACGGTCGTGCCTACGTCAACTCCCATTATTTTCTCGTAGATGCAGTATGAAAATTCGCCTTTCTCTCCTTTATTCATTGCTAAAAAGGTACAAAATGTTCAATCTTCGATTTGAAATGTTTTTCATTTGACTTCTTAACTCGTATTTTAATTTGATAATATGATTGTATCGAAGGACGGTAGATATTAATCGACATAGATCTATCCCCGAGATATCGCGAGGAATCGTGAAACGGACAAATTATTCGACAAGTGACGTATTTATTTTCTGTCTTGGCAGAGGACCTTTGGCGCTGAGGAAGGTCCGAGGAAGATGGCCGGAGGATGGAGTATAGTATCTAGACAGACGAGACATCGTCCTGCACGAAGTTGGCCCCCGTACGATTAGAGAGAATCGAGGTAGAAAGGTGATTGGCAAGGGAGAGGGTGCTTCCTTCCATTCTGAGGATCGAAATGAGCGATCTACAGGCTACCCTCGAGTTCTCCCTCGAGCTCTGCAAGTTCTACAATGTTGACCTCTTTCAGCGAGGGTAAGGAGCATTATTGAAAGCTTCTTTTATTGCACGACTTATGAAAAGGCTCCAGTCCAGTTCGATAGAGTCGTAGAAATAGAAGCGAACGGATAAAGGAGAGAAGAGAAATCATAGTCCCAACTAAAGTTTCACTTTTATCATTCCTCCTCCCTCCCTCTCCTCCTTTGCCCAGTGATAATCCTCCGATGAAAATATGTCCTATCTCTGTTCACGTAGATATTACCAAATCCGGACGGCTCTTCGAGTGTCGCCAAAATTGCCGGTCAAGGTGGAAGTCAATCAGCCGCGAAACCGTGAGTGTCCGTCGAGATCAGACCTGGGTAAATGATTGCGAACCAAGGACGATACGGATGTATCAGAGATCGTATCAGAGATTTATTGCTTCAATTTTTATTAGAAATATTTTTTTCAAGAAGAGATAAAAGTGAGAAAAGAGATAGAGGTAGCAAGTTCAATTAAAAATCTATAATAAGAATAACTTGTGATAAAACGATCACGAGTTTCCCTTGCTAGTGAAGAAATCAATTACTCGGGTCTAATCGAATCATCGTCACCCTCTAATTGGGCAATAGGGGAACGTAAAGACGTCGTTTTAGATTCGTTGGAGGCACCGGGCACGAGCAAACGCTTTCCAATCTTGTACAGAAACGAAGAGGTGACACTGGGTACTTCGGTCCTATTTCGTGCCCACGTGCTTGTACACAGTCACAAGATCGAGGAGGCCCTGTCTCGCACCCACTTCAATCTCGGCGTCGAGCTATGGTTCAGTGAACATACACAACCCGGAAACATGGCATGCGTGTCATCGAGGTGAGCACTTTAACGGCTGCCTCTTTCCCTTTCTCTCCCTCCTCCTGTCTCTCTCTCTCTCTCTCTCTCTCTCTCTCTCTCATTTACAATCGGTTTATCGCGATCACGATGAAACACACAGACGTAACTCGAGACCTCGTGGATACGCTCACGCACACATGCATGCACGCACACGTACCCACACGTAAGCTCGCACGTATTAGAAATGATACAACGAACGAGTGTTCCGATGAAACGGACGAAAATCGATACTTTCGAACAACTCGTGCACTCCTTTCTCTCTCTCTCTCTCTCTCTCTCTCTCTCTCTCTCTCTCTATCTCTCTATTTTTTTCTCCTCCTCTCCTCTTTCGCGCGTTTTTTTCTTTCATTATTCTCCGTTCGATTCCTTTTCAGGGCATTGCAGTTAAACTTCGCGCCAACGAAGGGCCTCCATTATCATCTCCCGGTACTCTTCGATTACTTTCATCTCGCCGCCGTATCCATCACGATCCACGCTTGCCTCGTGGCGCTTCATCAGCCGTACATCAAGTCGGTATCTCTTTCGTTCTCCTTCTCTCTCTCTCTCTCTCTCTCTCTCTCTCTCTCTCTCTCTCTCTCTCTCTCTCTCTCTCTCTCTCTCTCTCTGTCTGTCTTCTACTTATATATTGGCACGCTGTTCATTATTCTCTTTCGTGTTCTTATATTGGATTTTCGCGCGCGAACAATCAGGAAGAGCATCCTGCATTATGTTCAGAGTTGGTAAGTTTTGAGAAATCTTCTTTGCATATTTATTAATCTTCCCGTTCGGCCAATCAATCCATTTACGTAATTTGTAGCGCACCACGCGGTGGGAAGCCTTGGTTGCAGTTTAAACAGACGGCAGCCAACAATGAGAATAACGCAACATTCGGGAACGTTGTAAGTTTAGCAATCAAGTGGTGGTTCATTGGTTTCTCCCTAAACTGACTGCGATTGAATTCTCCTCATATTTGTTGGCCGTAGGAAAGCACGACAAGGTGCGTCGGTTCGGCTACCAGGATGCAACACGCCAGGTTGGTACAACAGGAAGTGACGAGATTACTTTTAGCCGCTAGGGAATCCCTGTTGAACGATCTGGCCGATCTAGCGAGACTTTTACCTTCTTGGCAGCAAAGGGCACTCGAGCTTGCACAGAACACGCACAAAGAGATCACCAAGGTCGTGTGTTAGTTCGCTATCCAATATCCGATCGGTTTATCTTGAAAATAACATGTCATGTATGTAATCGTTTGCAGATGATGGACACGGAAGAGGCAGATATAGCTCAATTATGCGCACAAAATATCGTCCTCTGGCAACACTTTCTGGAAGCTTTCTCTGGTCGCGAAGCTGTGCATCAACATCTCGCTAGGATTCATCATCAGTTGAGAGTAAGATATTGCGGCTCGATCGTTTGTCCTCGATCGTACTTGTTTTCACCAAGCTCGTTTTTCAGGTCAAACGCTTCGCCGAGGGTTTCTTCGTGTTGGAAAATCCAAGAATGTCGGCGGCGGGCTGTTACGACGCAAATTATCAATCGTATCAGGCTGTAAGCGAGACCGCACGAAGATCGCGTTATCTCGCCTCGTTGCCACCGTTGCCGGTACATTGCCCGGAATTGGACGGCGATCTTCATTCGTTGCCTTTAATATTCGAGGATCAATATGCCGATATGCAGCAGAGACATAGAAACAGTAGTAAGAAGAAGACCGTCCGTTTGATACGATTTAGATCGGTTATCGGACGTTTTCTCGTTAAAACGAAAAAGAGATAATACGTTATATACGTAGAATGTGTTATCCTTCAGTTCCCAGTATGGACGATTGCAGCTGTGGGATCGCCGCGATTCTGGAGTCCAGGTCTATGGGTATCTGGTCGCCGAGAAGCGAAGGTGCTGCGCAGGATATTGGAGCGATGCAGGCTCGTTTCGCGACCAGCCCTTCGACATTGCCGGCCAGACATAGCAAGTCTCTCGATCAGCTGGGCCCCGAAATGGCGCCGTTGCAGCCAAGGTCGTCTCCTAAGACATTACCCAGGTTTGTTTGAGCGTCGTTGATCGATCGTTCAACTCGTGCGAGCCAATTAAAAATCTTTATTCCTTATGTGATTTACGCGTATAATTCAAGATCGGTCTCGACGCAATTATTTCCCAAACAACGTGGCGGAATTAGAAATGCGACCCCGCCAGCGACGGTTCCGTCGAGAGGAGGAAGGCCAAGGTCAACGTTACCGTCTGGCAACACCCTCTTACCGCCGTCCGGACAGCAGCAGGCATGTTCGGCGCCAAATCCATCGTTGAGTTCCACTCCGGTGATACCTCTTCCTCGTGCCAAATCCACGCAGATGTTGGTGCAAAATCGGCAACAAGTCGATCCGCAATCCGCGTCCATCGGTTCGCTCCTTGTGGCGATGTTTCCCGAGCTACCGTCGGACACTCGACTCCCTGGCTATCGGCCGTCCGGTAAATCCTGCGAACAGAATCTAACGGTACCCTCCTATATCAGAACGTTGGACTTGGCCCAGCTGGCCGATTGCTTGAATACCGAGAGCAAATCTTCACAAATCTCCGAAGGTATGATCTTTTTCTTTGTTTCCTTTCCTTTTTTCCTTTTCTTCTTTTTTCCTTTCCTTCGGTCCCTCTCTTAATTTTGTTTTCGTTACATCTCAAATAAACGAACGTATTATCTCACGTTGAGGCGAGTTCATTTGCTTCTTTCAGATTTTCACTCTTTGGACACCAGGAGGATACGATTGGAGCCAAGGAGTCATCGATTGTTGAATCGCCAAGGCCTTTCCGGCAACGATCAGAACAATTTTCCTCTTGGCAAATCGGGTACAAACGTTGATGGTTTATTGCGCGAACAACAGCCTCTTCACACGGCCACTCTCGACAGGATAACATATCGTGGAAATGGCAGAAAGCAGGCACATCAAACAGCCGGTAAATACAATCAAACGAACGGATTGGAATCACGACGTTATCACACAATTGGGAAAACTAGCTCGGGTCATGGACAACGCAATCGGGAAATGCAGAATTCGATGAACGGTACGACCCTGACGAGCAGTCATTCGTTGCTGATGGAACCGTTGTACAGAGTATCGAATTACTCCTCGACCACTACGGATTCCTTCTTTTATCGAACGAACGGCACCAGCGGCCGTACCCGCGACGAGACTGATCGACCAAAGAGACCAAAGAGTACCGACAGACTCGTCGACGAGGTTGAGAGGAACGAATGTTGCGAGTTTAGGAGAGAGAGAACGAAACGGAAAGATGAGAGAATGACAAAGTCACCACGAAACGGTGTAACTTTGTCTTGTTACATGGAGGAGAAACAGCAAAAGCGAGGTCAACGCGAAAAGAAAACTATCGAATCACCTAACGAGCCTCTCTACGAGGTAATTACACTCAAGGTAGAACCAAAGAGGGAAACGCGCGTTGAAAGAAGAAGGGATAAGCACGGTAGGAGGCCACATTCCGCTCCCGTTCTCGACACCGAACGTCCACCCGAGGATGTTAGAAAGTGTGCGCATAGGAACAGGAAGGCCGCACCACCGCCTCCGGCTTATCAGGATCCGGCTATGGCACCTTTGCCCAAGTATCGTCATCCACCGCCAGCACCTACGACCAGTGTCCTCGAAGTTGAGAACAACAATAAGATCATTCTGAAGGTAATGATAATGATTTGCTTTCGAATTCTTTTCTTCCGTTTCGTCTGATTTGCGATAAATCCGATATACATACTTGTATATATAACATATTCTTTTTCAGGTTGAACCGATAAAGTCTCCGATCGAGATATCGGTTACGAACGGGAAAACGCCATCGTCCGAGATTTCAAGTACCGGTGAACAGCCGCCCAATGTGAAAAGACTGAGATGTGCCAGCGTACCCGTGGCACAGAACAAAATCGTAGTCCCGCGTAGCGCCGTTTCGCTACCATGCATGCCGATACGCGATAGCAAAGATAGCCTTAGCAACAATCATCCCGTCATTCCAAATCCCCTTAGTCCGCCGTCCACTCGACCGAGTAGTCCTACGACGAGTTCGAGCTCTAGCAACTTGACGTCCGAGTGTTCAGGTTGGGTTAGCAGCGGCGACACGTCTAGCTCGGAACAAAGGCGTAACGCGAGATTGTCCAGCGAGCAGTTGCGTCAGAAGCTTTCCAAGATCGTACCGAGGAAAAAGAGTCCGGCAAAGGAGAGTAGTCCGATCGAACATTCTTACGAAGAAGTTAGACTGCCGCCACCCAAGATGTTCCAGGACGAGCCACCACCTCCCGAAGAGTTTCGTGATCCACCAGTCCCTATCGACAATCCTCTTTATCACGTTTACGAGACGGTAAAGAGAACTCGGAGTCCCAAGCGAAACAAGACGGCACCCTGTAGTCCTCAACGTAATCGGGAAAATGCATACGGTGCTGGTAGGGATATCTGTTTGGATTGTTATCAAGAAGGCAAGGAACTTTTGCAGAGCACACAGGACGACTTGATCAATTTTAAAAAATGCAAGGAGGAATTTAAACGACAGATGAGCTTCTCTGGAAGGATTTATAGGTGTGTATTTATTAGATTTTGAGGATTGTCCTGACCAATGCTCTCGGTTCCTCCGATACTCTTCCGACAGACCGCAACGATCCTATCTCTCTCTCTCTCTCTCTCTCTCGAAATTTTTATCTTTTGTTTCTTCCCGCTAACGCAAGAATGTATTTGTAATATGGCGTGTTCTGTGTCTTGGATGGATTGAGTCGAGGCATTTTGATTCGCCGTTTCTAGTCTCTCTCTCTCTCTCTCTCTCTCTCTCTCTCTCTCTCTCTCTCTCTCTCTCTCTCTTACTCCGCTCCACCTTTCCGTTCGTATTTTAAGTTCTCTTTATCTACCTTACCCTATTTAGAGAACGCAAAGAAGCGCAGTATCGCTTCCATAAGCGTGCCCGTTCTTTCGGATACGGTGACCTTCTGACCCCGTCGTCGATTCAACCTCTAAGATCGAATGTGCCTCTTAGCGATTACCCGAGTCTGGCCTCGACCTTGCCGTATTTCCACATCAGCGACGAGTACCGACTCTTCTCGCCGGAAGGTGCTCATCTAATCGTTTGCGTACACGGACTCGATGGTAATGCGGCTGATCTACGTCTCGTCAAGACTTATCTCGAATTGGGTCTACCTGGGGCACACTTAGACTTTCTCATGTCCGAAAAGAATCAAGTTAGTGTTGCCATCTTTACATCATATATATTCTCCTTTCTTCTTTGATGTGTATGACTTTGTTGTTGAATTAAATCTTATCGCTTTTAAGGGTGATACATTTTCGGACTTTGACACGATGACGGATAGACTGGTAGCTGAGATTCGTCATCACATCGAAATATCGGGCTTGAATCCAACGAAAGTGAGCTTCATCGGGCACTCTCTGGGGACCATCATCATACGAAGTGCTCTAACGCGACCACAACTTCGGCCATTACTTCCTCGTTTGCATACTTTCCTTAGTTTAAGCGGACCTCATTTAGGCACTCTTTATAATACAAGTGGATTGGTTAATGCTGGTTAGTGAGATTATACTTAAAAGGGAGTCAAATATATGTTTGTATATACACACATCTGTTGATATATCTTTTTCATATATCGCTAGGTATGTGGTTCATGCAAAAATGGAAAAAGTCCGGATCGTTGCTCCAACTGGCAATGAAGGACGCACCAGATGTCAGGCGTTCCTTCATGTTTCGTTTAAGTCAGAAGAGCAATTTGCAAAAATTCAAGCACGTACTCTTGTGCGGAAGCGCTCAAGATCGGTACGTGCCGCTTCACTCGGCGAGAATAGAACTTTGCAAGGCTGCCGTACGTGATCCGTCCGATCAAGGTATTCCAATATCTCACCTATGGAAAAAAAACCATCAGAAAATATTTTAACTTTTTTTTCTTTTCTCTCAATCGAGTATATTATAATTATACGCACATACACGAATATATAAATGTGTCTATCTGCATATGTATTATATTTAATTCATGACAAGTTTTCTTATTTGTAGGGGCAGCGTATCGCGAGATGGTGCAAAATATACTCTATCCCGTGATGTCGGCATCCGGTGTGAGTTTGGTCAGATACGATGTCCATCATGCGCTTCCACCGACAGCAAACGCTCTGATCGGTCGAGCAGCTCACATCGCCGTCCTTGACTCCGAGCTTTTCATCGAGAAATTTCTCCTCGTTGCTGGTCTCAAATATTTCAGATAAGGAACGGGCACAGTTTCATTCACGGATGAGAGTACGGTCATGATCTGTTGTGTACTCTAAGTCATAAAAGCCAAAGAATGATGAACGACAAGAAGGAACAAGAGTAATGAAAAATATACGATAGTATGTTGATAGGGAGAGAGAGAGAGAGAAAGAGAGAGAGAGAGAGAGAGAGAGAGAGAGAGAGAGAGAGAGAACGGCGCGTTATCGTCGCTTCTTTAATAGCTAGTCCGTTTCTAATCATAAGTATGGGAGACACCGCATGATTATTGATTAGGTAGTTTGATTAACGACGAAGAAAAAAAAACGATTACATTTTAAAAGTAAACGATTTTCCCACGATCGCATCGGTTTAAAAATCTTTCGGCCTAGTTCGAGATCGATCGACGATTTTTAGGAAAGAATACAAAAATCAAAAAAAAAAACAAAAAAGAAAATCACGAGTAAAAATTATCGGGAATCATACGACGGATCCTCGTAACGCCAATTTCATCGATATGTCGCGACGAAAAGTCATACATACCTACATTAATTTAATTGTAAGATCGTCGAACGAGATTGGTTAATTGATCGGGCAAGTATGCGTCGCAATGTACATTTCTTTTTCAATTTTTCTTCCTTGTTTCTTTTCAAGAATTTCAAAAAACTCGCAATCGACTCGAGTCATTTGTCGCAATATACTTGCCGCTTGTTAAAAAGTACGCAGACAATGTTTCGCTGACTCTGTCAGACTAATATAAGAGTTCATCGTTAATCCGTTAGTGATATAAACATAACTCGTTTTAGTTTTCATACATGCACATTAAACTTATCAACAGCAACGCTCAAATTTTCACTACGTTAATCGAATGTTATTGTTAATGCATTTTGTCGCTAAGAAACGAACAAAATTATGATACCCGATCGATTATCGTATTCATCGAAAATCGTATTTAATAAATATTCGCAATTCTCATTTCACATTTTTAAATTGACACCTCAAATACAATTTCCTCCGATCGGTTTTTGTCAATGAAGTCACGGATAATTCTCTTTGTAAGAGTCAGCGATTCGCCGCGTATTTAAAAGAAAAGAAAGGAGAAAAGTTAAAAAAAGAAATAAAAAAAAATAAAATAAAATATAAAATAAAAAGTACGCGAGAGAGAGAGAGAGAGAGAGAGAGAGAGAGAGAGAGAGAGACTATGCGAGAGAAAGCATTGTCTAGGCGTTAGGAAAGTTACGAAACGCATGTCAATTGTTACCCTCAGATAAGTGTGAGTGCGTCCCGTGCGTGTAGAGAGGATGGATGAACAAAATAAGAAAACGAAAAAAAGGATGATGGACGAAAAGAAAAAAAAATAAACTAGAAAAGACAACATGAATTGGAATATTATATTTGTGCGATTTTCTTTGGTGTTGCACGGCGAAACGAAACGTGCACAATTCGATTAGAACTTTTGAAGGAGCGTAACGCGAACGATCTTGTGAACGAAGAATATATGTCGCGCTAATGGAAGATGAAAGGGCGCTCTATTTTCATGCGAAGAAAACGGAAACGTATCTAAAGAAAGAAAGAGAAGGAAAGAGAAAAAATCGTTTCAGGTATATGAAATCCCTCCAGTACTAGATCTCAATTGCTCGTAACAATCTACGGAGAATTATAATTAATTAAATAACTCGACCTGCGGATGTTCTACATAAGGAGATACGCCTATTACATCGATCGATCAATCGTCGTCGGAACGAGAGACGCGCGCGCGCCAGAGAGGGAGAGAGAGAAAGCTGAAACGAAATATATGTGTATATATATATATATATATATATATATATATATATATACATACATATATATTAATAATAAAGAAAGAAAAGTGAAATGGCGTTATAGTTTCGTAGCATCATCGTCGTAGCTTGTCGATCATTATCGTACGATTAGCTTTTAATTAATTATAGCTAAGACTCTTTACAAGACTCTTCAGTCGTTGGTGCTAAGTATCGAAATCTTCATTTCTTTCTTCATCATCATTTATTTATATGTGTATTCAAGACCGATTTGTTCCGCTTTTCATCGTAATATTAAAAGCCTTGGGTAATATCGTTCCTTTTTATCGCAAGTGTGTGCTTAATGAGAAAGAAAAAGAGATCCAGTAGAAATTGAACGCGAACCTTGATCGATTTTTTTACGATAAATTAAATAGATTTTTGCGACTCATCATATTTCCTTTTTCCTTTTTCAATGGGCTGGTATCCCATATAAAGAAAGAATAAAAAGAAAGAGAATGCTTGTATGTGTTTGTGTGTGTGTGTGTTTGTGTGTATGAGAGAGGGAGAGAGATAAATAATTATTATATGACCATCTATGATAAAAAATTATTAACGATTTTTAAAAGGCATTAACAATGACGACATTTGCATATTAATTAATTATATGAACAAATTGATTATTATAAATGAATTTGTTGGAGTGTAAACAAAGTTTCATTTTTACGATTCGACGAAATACATAACGGCCCTTTCTCGTCGCATCGCATTGTAAGAAAAAATACGGTGACCGCCAAAAGAAAGGAAAAATAACAAGAAAGGATTCGAAATCGAATAATATAAAGAAAATTAGGCAATATTGAATAATGATCTTCGAGGGATAATTTTTTCACTCATCGTAAAATCATATGCCATAGGAATTTTCATTAAAATCATAATTAGTTGCTCGTTCACATATGAGTCTTTGTAATTATATCGAGAATTAACATACGTGTACCATTTGAATTGATTTAACATAAGTCAATATGTGTATACACACATATATATATATACACACACATGTATGAACATGATTTGTGTAATGTTTTAGTTTCTTATCGTCGTACGCATGGCACAATTTTTCTAGAAACTCGTTTTGACGAGGACAAAGTTGCGAAAACTGCAAACGAAGATACGATCCGACGATAGATTCTAACGATCGATCGATCGATCGATTGATCGATATACATGTGTGTGTATATATATGAACACACGTAGGTATATCATTTAACCGTGAAAACAAAATGCACATTCGCAATTTTAGAAGGATTTACTCGATGGATTTCTCGGCAGTAGGGCAAGCGCGTCATCGATTTTAATCTGATTTCTTTTTTTACGCGCGTACGTGTATCGATTGTTATACTATTTTTAATTACGAGAATCGACCAAACGACAAACGATCGGCGTGTTCGACATTACGTTCGATCATGTTTGAGATCTTACGATTGGCAAAAAAGAAAAAAATAAGAGGGGACATGCCTGACTCGTTCGTCCGTTGATTAGTGGTATATTTTTTAATTCAGTTTAATCAATGAGATCAGCAAGTATTTATCAATACAATTATGTATGGTTTTGTGGAATAAGATCCGTGTATCGTGCGAGAGGGATTAGAGAGAGAGAGAGAGAGAGAGAGAGAGAGAGAGAGAGAGAGAGAGAGGAGAGAGAGAGAGAGAGAGAGAGAGAGAGAGAGAGAGAGAGAGAGAATGAGAGGGGGAGAGAGAAGTACAGCAAGAAGTAAAGAAGTTTGTCGTTAAAGGAGAAACACCAATGAAGAAGTAACAATGTATACACTATACATAATATATGCGTACATATGAGAAAAAATGAAATAAATCTATACATAAAGAGATAGATTAATATAAAATCTCGATTTATTAATGAAGGGCATCGGCTGCATGCCAATAACCTGATTTTTATCTTCAGCTTGCTCTATACTTTCATAAAGAAGAAAAAAAAATGAAAGGAATAAAGACACATTTATATAGTTTTATTAATAGGATTAAATCTCTCTCTGATTACATAACAATCACGATAACGAACACAATCGAAAGTTACGTGCGAGAATAAAAATTCGAAATAATTTTCACCATTTCGTTCTTTATATCTTCGAAATAAACGTGTTTGAAACACTATAAATAAAAGTCATAGACGTACGTGATAATCAGAGAAATTAAAATCGTATATACACGCGTGAAATTAACGTGTCCCTTGTAAATTTTACAAACATTAAAAAAAAGAAAAGAAAAAAGAAAAAAAATAAAAAAGATATCAATATCGCATAAAAAATTTGCTAAAACGATAAATTGCTAAATCGATTGATGGATAAAAATTTGTAAAGTTATTCGATCTTGAATCTTTTGTAGAAATGTTGCTTTGCTTCCGATTAACGATATGATTTTGTGTGTGCTTTTGTGCGTGTGCGTGTGCGTGTGTGTGTGCGTGCGTGTGCGTGTGCGTGTGCGTGCGTGTGGGTTTTTTTAATTTCTTAAAATAATAATAAATAATTAGAAAGGATAGCGTTCCGTCCTATTCGACGTTACGAAAGTCCTCTGGCGCTTCCTCGTTTTCCTCGTGAAAATTTCCAAGAGCACCCTCGGCCATACCGTCAATAGGTCCAGCAGCATTCATACCAATTGCTTCGTCTATGATCATGGCAATGTTCGTCTCGGTAGGACCTTCTCCAGCTTGATCCGGTTTTACACGACCATTTGTAGTTGCTTGACCTAAATATCGACGAGAGACTTTTAACAATAAATCGAATATTTAAAAAATATATAGGATAAGGGAAGAGAAAAAGGATTATAGGAAAATTAAAGGTAAAATAAAATAAGATAGATCAGACTTACCTTGACCAAGATCTCGTACTTTGCTGAGATAGGAGTATTCTCGTGCGTTTGATAGACCAGATATCACGCAGGCACTGAGTGCACTCCGATTGAGATTCATCGGCGACGCGTCGTACCACTCGTTGCTATCCGCATCGTAGCACTCGACGTAGGCGATAGTGGTTGTACCTAATGGTTATGGGCGATAGTGATTCTAGTTCTCGTTTCGATCATTGAAATAGATCATCGAGAAGCCAGTTAGAAACTTTTTGACTCACCATTGAAACCTCCAACTACAAAGATCATATCGTCGAGGATCACAGTGGCAAAATTACTTCGTGGACTGAACATTTCGGTGACTTCCTGCCAATCCTCGGAGTTGTTAGGACTGTAACGTTCTCCTAAAAGGAGATCAAGGAGATGGCTAAAGAAAAGTAGAAAGGACAAACTGATTGTCGCTCGGGTTTCGAGTATCGAAGAAACTTTCACCGGAACTTAGCCTAATGAAGCCGTTGAAGCCGCCCAGAGCGTAAAGACTATCTCGAAAGGCAACCAACGAGACACCAGATCTAGGACTGATCATCGATCGAATGTAACTCCACTGATTGCTTTCGAGATCGTAGACCTCGGCGGAGTCGAGGATTTCCTGACCATTGAAACCGCCAACGATATAAATCTTATTGCGGAGTGCGGCCGCACTAGCGTCCGAACGTTGTCGATTCATCGGCGGTATCATTTCCCATTGATTCTTCTGTGGCTCGTATCGTTCGGCCGAATTCATTCTGGTTCTTCCATTGTATCCTCCTAATGCGTATATCTTGCCACCTTTTGGAAAAATAGAGGGCACTTGATATTAACTTACTTTCGAAGTTTAACCATAACTTACCGTGCGTACAAACGCTAACATAACACCTAGCGTGGTACATGCAAGCTCGTTCACGCCATTCCTTCGTCACTGGATCGAAACATCGGACGGTGTTAAAGTGTTCATTCCCATCAAATCCTCCAATCATATAGATGAGATCGTTGAGAGCGCATATCCCGTGATAAGCTCGTGGCGTCAGATCCGTGCTTACTGATAGAAACCATCTGTCAGCTCTGTAGTTTACACAGTTGACATTTACACAAATATGATTCTTAAGGCATGGATCACGCAGATATTTTCTTCGCTATCTATCCTTTTTGTTTCCTTTTATTTTATTTTATTTTATTTTTCTTTTTCTTTTGTTTTGTTTTTTTTTGTTTTTTTTTTGTTTTTTTTTTGTTTTTGTTTTTTTTTTTTTTTCATTTCCATCATTCTTTTCTCCGCACGTTCTCTTTATTTTACTATGGCCAATCGTTTCGCGACGACATGACCAGTTTTACCTCGTGTCGTAAGTCTCGACGAAACTGGTCGGTGAACCGGCACTCCAACCGCCAATCGCAAAAAGTATTTCGTAGGGTACTCGTGGTCTCGACAACGGATTCTTCATGTCGATTTCTCCGTTCTGTTTGTTGTCTTGTTCGGTTAGATAAGCTTTTGCCGACTGCAATGTTCGTTGACAGGCCTGGAAGGAAAATAAATAAATTGGAGACATTTCAAATTCATTCCAGTTATGTTTATTCCCTTCGTATTTTACCTACTTCGTTTTCCCGAATGAGTTTCCAATTGAGGACGTTGTCTGCGAAATAATTGTAGCTCATTGATCCATAACGTATACATTCCAGCAACTTTGTCACGTGAATCTTCCTCTCATCCACTTTATACTCGACCCAGGTTTTAACGGCCTCGAATACTATCTCTTCGTTTTTCACGTTGAGTTCGTCGTCCTCTAATATTGACTCCAATTCCTCCGACTGCAATTCCTTGAACTCTGAACTCTCGTAAAGTATTTGTTTGAAGTGATGACGAATGTATCTTCGGCCTTTCTCTTCGAGATCCCGGCAGAAATAATGACGTGCAAATTTGAAGATTCCTACGATCGTACAAAACGAACTTAGGATTGATCAACGTTCCTTTTCGTCAAAGTCATGTCGCGTATTGACCTCCCTAATACCTAGACAATTGTCCGGTTTGAGTTCTTGCAAGAGAAACTGACAACAGAGCTGGACAACACCAAGGACCTCGAATTGATCTGCCAAAGGTAAGAGTTGCTCTACGTTGTCCGCGTTAACGTTGCAGGTGCCAGTGTAAGCATAATCGAGGATCAGAGCGAAGATTTCGCTGGGTACCGAGTCGATGACTACCTCGGTAGTCTCGCTCTTTCCACCCTTGAGGCTATTGGTAAAGAGGGCTTTGAAGTAAGGACTAACCGCTGAAAGTATGGCTCGATGAACGGGAAAAAACTCGTCCTTGGCACATCTAATAGCACCGTCGCAAAGTTGTCGATTTGCTCTGAAAATAAATCGTTCGTTGATCGTGCGCTCTATCCTTCCTAAGTAGAAGAGGAAGAAGGAGAGATAGAGGAAAGGAAAAAAGAAAAGAGCCTCTTTATTTGTATAATCGATATTATTGGGTGTATTATTCGACAATCCTCGTTCGCACAATATCATCATTCGATTCATATCTATGTTAGCTTATAGAGAAATAATCCAAGTCCACGCCGCTAGGTCGGTCTAGATAATAGCCTGAAAAAATAACCTAAGTTCCGACCAGACAATTGGGAACTCGACCAAGGCGTAATTGGAGGGGAGACAAACACACTTCCTCACTCTGGCTGCCTGTTTTTTCTTGCACTGCTTAAGTGCAAGAACAGCGGCAGTACGAAAACGACGTCTCGTAATATTTGATTGGGCAACGATAGCTTCCTGAGCGTCATCCTGACGTAATTGTCCATCGGTTCGTGGCCTTGAACCGAGTCGTCGACCTGGTAACGATGAAAGTAACGGTCGGAGGATTAGCAATGGATTTCGTGCTGGTCTTCCTCTATTGGCTCCTCCTCGCCGACGAAAAACTCCTCTCAAATCTTCCTCCCTCGAATCCTCTTCGCTCTCGTTATTATCAAACCCTGTCCAAACGTAACCGCGGAGACTCGCGGCCATGACAGACGAAGGCCAAAAATTTCCACATTCGAGTTTGCCTGATACTACTCTTAGCTCGATCGATCGTGTTCGATCGCGGCTGAGAGAAAGTCGTTAATCGAATTCGACTCGTATCGTACTTCCGATTGGAATTCTTCCATTTTGAATGAATATCATTTGAAAATGAGACATTTTTATTTTTCTTTACTTCTCTCTTTTTTTTTCTTTTTTTTCTTTTTCTTTTTTTTTTTTTCTTTCTTTTTTCAAATTACTCCTTCTAAGTAGTAAATTGAGGGCCGAGAGAGGTTGACCGATACAGGGAAAATTATACTTCGGACGGTTCCTTTCATCCGAACATCCAAATATCATCGTTGAATGATTTCGAACGTTTCAACAATATTTTTTGAATTAGAAAATTCTTCTCGCGTATGTAGATGAAAAGTTTATCAGAAAAACGGACAAATTTGTAAATTGAAAATATCATTTTTAAGCAAATCAAAGAAAGTACAAATGAAAGATTTGGGTTCGAAGACGACGGTGGCAGGTTCTCATTTCAAGGGCGGGGTCGATGTCGCTTTCTCGCCCTTCGTGAAATGGTGAATCCCTAATCTTACGGCGGCTGAGGGGTATACAGGGAGGAGGAGCAGCATTGGATGGAAGGTTAAGGGCTGTCTAGGGGGCGCGAGTCGCTAACGCAGCGAGTCGACACGTACACACACGTGCGTCGCGTGTTGGCACGCAACCCCGCGCCAATCAATATCCAGCTATATAGGGTGTGTGCGCATTCACTTGCCGTGGGAATTTAGGCGAGTCTCGATCTTTCAGTAGGAACCCGATCACCAACCACACCTCGTTGAAGCCTGGAATCTCGATACTCTCGTGCGTGTTTGTTTCTTCGTTTCTTGCCCCCTTTTCCTCTTATCCATTTCCGTACGTGCGTGCGTGCGCGCGCGTCTCTGCGTATGTGCTAGTGTGCGCGCGTACTCTAACCGTGAGACACGTTTCGCTTTCGTTTCAGTCTCTATCATCTCGGCTTCTCGTGACTTCGGGAGAACCAGCGGGATTATAAAGGTATGGAAAACGTCTAAATATAACGAAAGGGAGACTTTTTCGCGCTACTAGCTCGCATCTTGTTTACTCCTTCGATTTTACCTTATCTCCGTTTATTATTATTATTTTTATCTTCGTTCTTTTTTTCATCGTCGTCTTTATCAAGACGTTTTATTAAGATTTTTCCTTTTTCACGTTTACAGAAGGATCATATACGTTCGAGTGACGTTTAATTAAACGTTTAAATAGACCGGCGATTTTTATTTTCGTTCGAAAGAAAGTGACACAATTTGATTTTTCATCTCCGAAAGTATTTGTTAATTTTTCATTTTTCTTTTTTTTCTTTTCTTTCTTTACTTTCTACATCGTAACGCGAATCAGACGAACAATTTGCTCTCCTTTTTATGGTGAGACGAGACAAAATAAACGCAAGGGAAAAGATATGCGATCTTTCAATCGGCGAGTCTTATTCTAAAGGGCCATACACGTGTCAACCGGCAAAGTTACTTTGATACGCGCTATGTTTGACATGTGGTTCGTATGGTAAAGCGCTTAGAACTTTGTCTCGTGTATCTCAACCCCAGACTCACGCACACGCGCACGCACGTTACCTCTCTCGTACATATGTAGATACAAAACCTCGTAGGGGATTCGCGGTGGGAGACGCATTGGTAGGAAGGAACGGAGAAAGAAGAGGACACTTTGGGAGTAAGCGCGTGCGATAAACGACGCTTTCAAACTAAATTCAGTGACTCATGTATTTACTTACGACACATGCGAGGAGTAAGCGAGTGAATACAGTGAGACAGTGAGACAGTGAGTGAGAGAGAGAGAGAGAGAGAGAGAGAGAGAGAGAGAGAGAGAGAGAGAAAGGGAGGGAGAGAGAGAGAGAGAGAGAGAGACAGAGGCGGGTGGGAGAGAGAGAGAGAGAGAGAGAGACAGAGGCGGGTGGGAGAGAGAGAGAGAGAGAGAGAGTGAGTAGGAGGGAGGGAGTAGACGCGCTTTTGTTCCGTTCCACCCTGAATGATGGCGCGGTCTTTCACGATAAATCGAAACATTCGATAGCATCAGCAAAATCAACTCGTCGAGAATCAAATTCAAAGTTACGAATCGATATCTCGTTTTATGCACGACAATCCGGTGAGCATTGTCAAGGCCGAGCAAGGCCGAGCAATGCCGAATCGGTCGCAGCCAAGTTCATTGGCAAGTGACTTGGATTGATTCACAACATTATACGATATATAATAAAGTGTGCTTCTTTTTTCGCGTTTAGGGAGAGCCATTACGATTCAGAACTAGGAAATCAATCGAAGGATGGAAGTTAAAGGGCGAGTTGCCCTGGTAACCGGGGCTGCTTCCGGTATCGGCAAAACTTACGCCATCGAGTTATTAAATCAAGGAGCCAAGGTGAGCTAATAGCAATATTTCTTGTCTGTTTTCGCATCTTGTAATTGTAAATACTATATATTCATAATACTATATTTAAGAATGGACGGACAATTAATAGAAAGATAGAGGATGTTTAATTAGAGCAGACGTTTGGAAACACTGTAATCTCTCTCTTCGTTTCTGTAGTCATGTAAATCTTATATCATCAGGCCGTTCTATCGATTTGACACAGGTATCGATTTGTGATATCAACAGTACGGAAGGTGAGAAATTGGCCGACGAACTGACCGTGAAATATGGAAAAGATCGAGTGATATTCTCCCAGTGCGATGTCACGGATTATCCACAATTCGAAGGTAACGTCATTACGATCATGATCATAGAAATGTACCATGGGTGATTTTTCTCTTCTGATTGATCTCTTTTCACAGCGTCGTTTCAAACAACGATCGCTGCTTTTGGACATATCGACATCGTCATCAACAACGCCGGTATCATGAACGATCGATTCTGGGAGCTCGAAGTCGACATCAATCTTGTAAATGAATATTTTCCTTTAAATGACAATCGAGAGCGACCATTTATATAGCGAGAAACATTCTATACGGCGAATCTCGTTGTTTTTAATTCTTTAGAACGGCGTGATACGTGGCACTCTTTTGGCTCAACGATTTATGGGTACGGATAAAGGTGGACAGGGTGGTGTAGTCGTGAATACCGGAAGCAATATCAGTATCAACCCCTACGTCAGCGTGCCCATCTATTCGGCTACGAAGGCGGCAATCGTTAGTCTTACCAGAGCATTTGGGGTACGTCAGTATGGAAAGTTTATATAAGGGATATAGATGAGAAAAATCATTTTTATTATTTCAATTAATAGATATTATTAATGTGACGTTCATTGTTGCAAATAGGATCAGTATCACGTGGAGCTAACGGGCGTCAAAGTGATGGCACTTTGTCCAAGTGCCACGGACAGTAATTTGGTGGCAGATGTTGGAAAACAGTTACTTTCGCCACGATATCAGGATGCCTGGAGTCGAGACACTGCTTCTTCGGTTCCGCAAAAGTGAGCAAAAATTAATAAGTGTCGATAATTAATCATTATAGTAAAACGAATTTGTTAAATGATACGTATACTTAGATTTGCTGTTTTTATCATCGATATATTTCCAAATGCATACCGTATTCCTTGGATAATAGATATTCTTTGTCTTCTTTCCTCTTTTTCTTTTCTTTTTTCTTTCCAGAGCGGAGCACGTTGCCAAAGCGTTGATTCATATTTTGAGTACGGGCAAAAGCGGAAGCATTTGGATGGTCGAGAACGGTGAAGCACCTCGCGAAGTGAACTTTCCAAAGTATTAAATAATTCACTTAAGAGAAAATAATAAAAAGATAAGTTTTAACGCGTCCGTCTTGCACGACACGTGATTCTTCCTCGCTTTGACCACAAGATAACTATGCCGTACCATAATATTACGTATAATTGTATCGATTTTATAGTCGAACATTGCCGAAATCGTAAGTTCTCGATCGAACTCCGTGACGATCACGCTCAGGATCACAATTACGATATGGTCGATCGATGTTCGCTCGATCATCATGTCGAAAGACGATCTGTCGACATTTTGTACGTTTTTACTCATTCAACAGACCTGTAAGTAGCACCAATCCGATAAAATTAGCACGCTAGAATCGCGTCGATCGCTTGAACGTTAACGGATACGTCCGTTGATCATCCGCTTTTAAAAATGGAAAAAAGTGTGAATGAGTGAGCGAGTATGTGTGTGTGTGTGTGTTTGTGTGTGTGTGTGTGTGTGTGTGTGTGTGTGAGATAGAGGAGAGAAAGAGAGCGATTGACACATGAAGTACATACTCGTATTATAAGTAAATAGGTACTATTCGTCCGTCGTGCGTCGACGAAGATAAAAACATAAAGTTATAAAAAGTAATAAGAAAGCATTAAATATACCACATTTTTCTACATATTTTTGCGCCAGAATAAAAGACAGCAAATTTGAATAAAGGACTGGGCCAATTAGCGAGGGCCTGACAAATAATATTCACAAATCGCTTCTTCGAAGATTCGAAGCATTCTTATCGTACGATAGAAAGCTCATTTTTTTACTTGCAAAATAAAACCTGATAACAAATAACTGATATCGTCGTTAATAATAGTAACAATTTGTGAATAATTATTTATACGTATCGATGATGCTTAAGAACGACAGACTAACGATCTTAAAGATCGAAGCTTAATCATTAATAATAATTAATCATCGAAAAACGATTTGGGTGGGCTGACTTTATAATTTTGATACTTATAATATGCATAATATCATAATTGCTTTATCGACTATTCGATTGCACATTTGTATACACGATTTATATAGTTTTAAGCCTCGACCAATTGAGGATTTAGGATTGATTATTTTCTATTGTCAATTTTAATTTATAATTTTATATGTTAAGTCAATTTCAATATATCATAATATAGGTGACGAGCGAGATTTCGGAGGATGAAACACGTTCAAAGCAAATACATGCATACATACATACATATGTGTATATTACGTATTCTGGATCGACGAGATATAAAAGAAAAAAAAAATCTTCGTAGGTAGTGGAAACTGTTGTTGGTTTGTTTGTTATGATTTGCTGAGAATGTATGTTGCAAGCTTTGCCAATAAAATCGCATAGCTTTTTAAGAAAATCGAAAAGAAGAATATGTCCTATTTGTCTTTTAATCTTCACTTTATTTTCTTTACGTCGACATCGTAACGATTAAAACGAACAAAGAGAATAACAGAAAACTCGATCAAACGTAAAACCGGTCCATTCGACAATTATTTAAACGTTGTACAATGCACTCGTAATACGAAGAGACATTAATTAAATAATTTTACATTTCGTAAAGCGTTTCATAGCACGTAAGACGCGTTAGATAAAATAGCAAATGTTTTTCAATATCAGAAACGGTACATATTCGAACGACAGATACCAGCTCGATACGCTTTCGTATCGTCCTCGTTGAGTTCAGGTACGTTGCAGATTTTTTCTAACATAGGTCCTCTTCTTATATATCAATGATAGTTAAAGACGTGAGATCGCGATCACAAATTTAGGTATTGTCGCCTTTAAAAGTTTTCCAGTTGAGAAGAAAATCACGTAGATTTGATTATAGTAATGAAGTACGTAGTATACGTTTTATTATTATTCTTTGCAAATAATACGAAAGATACTAAGAATAGAACCAAGCATTTAATAAAAACAAAACGTGACTCCACGCTTGCCTTGAGTAAAATATGATACCCTGTTACGGCCCGGCCATCATTTCTCTTACAGAGACGCACAGTGAAACTTTCAGAATTGCGTTGAGGAAGAAGAAAAAACATAAACGAAAGAAGTGGACCAGCCGACGAGACGCCGTTGTAACCTTGTGGTAGGGATATTCCCTTGAATAGTTCTCATTCGTGCTTGGTATCGCTGTTTTCAACAGTTCATTTTAACCTAGAATTATTGGTGATAATTATAAGTAGCTTAGTTTTTTCATTTACGTTATGTTTCATGTTATTTAATAGTATTTACCCGAATAATTTATATTCTATTAATCGTATTTTCCATTTGTACCACAATCCATCTAGATTCTTCACGATTGTATCAAGAGGACATCTTTTGAATACCCTCATCCCACAGCTATTGTAATGGATCACGGTTGGAAAAAAGTCAATAACACTGATTGCATCGCTCGATGATTTAACGTGGAAAAGAAGATTATAAAGAAAAGAAAAGAATTTCGGAAGATGCGATGTAGCTGATAACGAAAGATGGACATCTCGGAGATCCCTGCATTCTGTTAAAATCATTGTGGAATAATGCAGTTAAATTTTTCTCTATCGAAAGAAGGAGACCCACTTGTCGTTCGAGATTATTGCCTTTAGTAGTAACGTACAACAATCGATTCATCAGATTCGGACATAGTTGCGACGTCGTTCAGAAACTGGAAAGTAGAAAGAATATTATTAGTATCATCGTTGTAATAAGAAAGCATTGAAATTATTTCAAATGTTTGGTGTAAAAATATGTATATGTAATGTTCAGAAAAACAGAATATTGTTTATTTAATAAAAGTAATATATAAACAGTTCATGGGCATCATCTAGCATGAACGTTGCCGCAATAGTCGTCGGAGTCGTCGTTGTTCGCAATTTCTCTCCACCATGGCATTCAACGCGTTAACACTTTAACTTATTTTAATTACAAATATCAAAATAATTAATATTGTGTAAATATTATTATCAATATCTCTATTCTTATTATTATTATGCGAATTATTATGGTTAGAGTTAACAAAGAAAAATTACTTATACTGTTTTCATAAATAGGAATAAACTTATGAATGCTACTATTATTATTGGATTGAATTTGGTTTGCGTACCGAAAGTTGCGGCAGCATGTCTTCAAGAAACGTATTGGTGGTTTCTTAGTTACCTCTTACCTACTTTTTTCCTCCTTTTCCCCTTTTTTTTTTTTTTTTTTTTTTTTTTAGTATCGCTTGGTCGCGTCTTCGGCTGTTCCCCCGTACTCCACCCCATCGTATTGTTCCAGCCGGTAGTTACCTCTTCGAGCGTCCCTTTCGCAACTGAGTTGCATTTCACTTGTGTTATATGTGTTATATGCGTTAGATGCGCAATTACGTGCTACTTCTATAATCTACGGTAGTGGTGGTTTCGTCAAAGTTGCGACAATACTGTGACAATGTTCGACAAAGTTGCATATGAAGTGGCGCAAAAGATTCGCTAAGTCAGGGCTAAATTTGCATCAGAGTTGTGTTTGGTTGCGACCGTATTTGCGACTGCTTACGTCCGTAGTTGCGACTGGTTACGTTTATAGTTGAGACTGGTTACATTCGCAGTTGCGACTGCTCACGTTCGTATTTGCGACTGCTTACGTTCGTAGTTACGACTTATTACGTTCGCGGTTGAGACTGGTTACTTCTGTAGTTGCGACTGGTTACGTTCGCAGCTGAGACTGGTTACATTCGTAGTTGCGACTGCTTACGTTCGCAGTTGATATTGTTTATGCTGGTAGTTGCGACTGGTTACATTCGCAGTTGCGACTGGTTACATTCACAGTCGCGACTGCTTACGTTCGTAGTTGTGAATGGTTACATTCGCCGTTGCGACTGCTTACGTTTGTAGTTGATACTGGTTATGTTCGTAGTTGCGACTGAGTAACATTCGCAGTTATGACTGCATACGTTCGTAGTTGCGACTGGTTACATTCGCAGTTGCGACTGCATACGTTCGTGGATGTGACTGGTTACATTCGCAGTTGCGACTGCATACGTTCGTAGATACTACTTGTTACATTCGCAAGTTGCGACTGCTTACGTTCGCAGTTGATAATGCTTATGCTCGTAGTTGCGACTGGCTACATTCGCAGTTGCGACTGCTTACGTTCGTAGTTACGACTTATTACGCTCGCAGTTGAGACTGGTTATATTCGCAGTTGCGACTGCATACATTCGTAGATACGACTTGTTACATTCGCGGTTGCGACTGCTTACGTTCGTAGTTGAGACTGGTTATGTTCATAGTTGCGACTGGCGACATTCGTAGTTGCGACTGCATACGTTCGTAGTTGTGACTGGTTACATTCGCAGTTGCGACTGCATACGTTCGTAGATACTACTTATTACATTCGCAAGTTGCGACTGCTTACGTTCGTAGTAGATACTGGTTATGTCCGTAGTTGCGAAAGTGTAACATCCGCAGTTGCGACTGCATACGTTCGTAGTTGTGACTGGTTACATTCGCAGTTGCGACTGCATACGTTCGTAGATACTACTTGTTACATTCGCAAGTTGCGACTGCTTACGTTCGTAGTTGATACTGGTTATGTTCGTAGTTGCGACTGAGTAACATTCGCATTTGCGACTGGTTTCATTCGCAGTTGCGACTGCATTCGTCCTTAGTTGTGACTGGTTAAATCCGCAGTTGCGACTGCATACGTTCGTTAGATGCGACTAGATACATTCGCCGTTGCGAATGCTTACGTTCGTAGTTGATACTGGTTATGTTCGTAGTTGCGTATGAGTGACATTCGCAGTTATGACTGCATACGTTCGTAGTTGCGACTGGTTACATTCGCAGTTGCGACTGCATACGTTCGTAGTTGTGAATGGTTACATTCGCAGTTGCGAATGCATACGTTCGTAGATGCGACTAGTTACATTCGCCGTTGCGACTGCATACGTTCGTAGTTGCGACTGGTTATGTTCGTAGTTGCGACTGAGTAACATTCGCAGTTGCGACTGCATACGTTTGTAGTTGCGACTGGTTACATTCGCAGTTGCGACTGCATACGTTCGTAGATGCGACTAGTTACATTC